ATATCTTTATCCCTTTTATATGTATATATATATATATATATATATATATATATATATATATATATATATATATATATATATATATATATTCGTCGTTTCGGGGAACTATAAAACGCGTCTTCTTCCCCCAAAGTTTCGATTCTTCTTCCCCGATCTCCTGTTCGGCTACGGCGGCTGCTCTACCCTGCTCGGTTCAAGCAGGGCGACCTATTTGTTTTCCAAATAGTTGGCAATTGTCTGGTAGATCTATTTGATTGTAACATCTTTAAGTGTTTCTCTTGGAGATCCGTGGACTAATTTTCTAGGGTTTTCTGTTCTCCGATCTTGGAGTTGCTTGCCTTCCATTTTTGACAAATTGAAGTGCTATTGAGCCTCATGAACCTTTATGATCCTTCTTTTGATTCGATACAAGCGTAAAGCTTAGATCTTTCACAATTTCTTGTTGTATTTGGTTATGCGGACTGTAATTTTGCGGGTTGTGAGCTTATAATCGTTTGTCATGCTGTTGGTTGTTCTAAGACCATGGAAAAGCAAGACTTTTTCAGGATCTAGAGGGTTTGCATTTCGGTTCCAACTCGTTTCGTACTGTTTACTACTTCTGGAAGATAATCTATTGGTCTTAATATCCTAACACAAATTTATCTTTTTCTTGTTGTAGGTGCCGCATCCGATACATCAGCTTTTGCAAACTATAATGTGAGTGCTGCCTTTATCTGATACTTTTCTATTGATAATCATAATGTTGTCACTAATTTTCTTTGCGGAAGGTATCTCTCAGTTTATTTGTCACTTAGGATTATCTATGTTTATGCCACTCTATACAATTAACAGAAGTTACAAATGTCAGAGGGTGTTAAAAAGCACAAGCAATGCAATGTGTTATTCTAGTCCAAATTGTATTTAATGGTATTTGATGGCTAGTAATATATAGGAAAAATATATTCAAGCCTTTGGCTATTACCCAAATATTGATAATTCAATGAGTCTCCTGGTGCTGCACTGCAATTTCTTCTTCCACTTAGTAACCAGTTGATCACTTTATTTGCTTATTGAATAAACCGTCATTTTCAATCAGGAAGGTATTTTTGTTGAGCAACAGATATCATAAATGTTGTTTGCTTCAATTTTAGGGCGGACGAGGAACCAGTCGATCCAAAGCAGTACCTTGAGGAAACTTGCAAACCAAAATGTGTTCGGCCTTTACGTGCATATCAGGTACTTGAAATTGCATAGACATGCCTCATTTCCATAGAGCTTGTTGATTTCGATAGAGGATAGATTTTATAATTATTTGATATGGTGCTTCTGTGATATATAATACTTTATCCTTTTACGTTTTTTTTTCATGATCTCACCACTAAAACCGTTCTACGTTATCATCAATCTCACACGCTATCTCTTCTGCGCCATTGTATTTTCATAGAGTATGAGAAAACCTGTCACTCTACAAAGTTAGTGAAACTTTTGCCACTCCAAATATATGCACTTTTGGATATTCTGTTTTAAATCCTCAATTTGTTGTTTAAGTGGGAGTAGTGAATACCAAGTACTAATTGGTTACCCAATTGTGTTTGAAATTGTTAAATAAATTCCATGCCAGGAACCAGTTGTCTATTTTGAGAGGCAAAATCTGATATAAGTTATTGTTTCCAAGTTAGTGCAGTCATCTCTTATTTAGGTAGTTTTTGCATTTTATTCTCTGAGAAGGAACATGGATACCGTAGGATATTCTTTGAGAACATATTACTTTTAGTTTGTTGTTTAAGAGGAATTACTTGATAACAAATACTAATGGGTTACTCATTAGGGGTGGAAAAGATTTTAGCAATCCTCAATTCACATTTATAATAAATTACATTCCAGGAAAACCAGTAAACTATTTGCAGAGACAAAACTTGATATAAGTTATTGTTTCTGAGCTGATGCTGCCATCTTCTTTTGTTCTGATAGTAGATTTAGTATTCACAATTATTCTCTGAGAAATAGATGGCACTGTAGAATGGTTCCTGTGTTGAGATTATAAAAAGGTGGCGCAACCCAAGGTTCGTCGTACCATGGCATATCGCTCAGTATGGGTGGTATGTACCAACTAGTACGGGTGCAATATATATCGGTTTGTCACTACTTCCCATTGTACCATGTGTCGGCACGTCGGTATGGTTTGGTATGTATTGTATTGATAGCTGGTCGGTACACTAGTATAGATCGGTAAGACGAACCATGGCGCAACCATCATCTTTCTATATTAGTAAAGGTAGTATGCACGTTTTATCTTTTGAAGTTTGGTATAAGATTGGTGATAGGACACAGGTTGATGTTAACATTGGATATACTGTTTAATATGTTTATGGATGCTAGTTGGTTGAATTAATTAAATTAATGCCTTCTTTAAATTTGGATTTGCTGGTTTTGTATTATTATGAAATTTGCAATGATTTCTTTTACCTTAGAACTCTTAAACGTCCTTTGGTGCACTCTTTAAATTTTGTATAAATTCCCAGTCTCCAGCTATTAACATTGGGATTGCATGTTAATGGTTGATCAAGCTTGATGGATTCAGTTCTAGTACTGGAGGTATAATATCAACCACTTGCTATCCATCTGGGGAAGCTGTGGGGAAACCAACCGTATTCTCTTCTCTTCCATCTGCCATGGAACCGTTGTGTTCAGGAGCTGGGCGGGAAAGGAAAGAACTTGGATTTGAACCATAGCTCTCCTTGAATATCTGCTAATCAGATACCTTTTACTTGTTCATGGATTAGGTAGTTTTCTAGAACTTGTTTCCAATGGGAAAGGCTGGAAGTTTTATTTTCTTCTACTTATAATCGACTATTGTTGCTTGAAATGAACTGGAAAGGGGACAATTTCATCTATGTGCAGTTTAATGGTTTTGCTTTTGTAGTGAGCATCATAGTTCTGGGCCTTCTGGCCAAGTTACTTTTGGAGTTTCCACATTCTTTTATTTTATTTTATTTATATGTACTCTTTGACTTTTTGAATCTCATTCTCCATTGGAACCCTTCCCAACTGGATTGTCTTAAAGAACAAGTATCTCTGTAATTTTCAACCTGCTGTGTTTCATTTATGGAATATTACAAGTTAGTAGGTTTTTTGTCAATTACATTTAAGTTTTAACAGTTGATAAAGAACATCTACCGTATCTGTTATTGCTGCAATTTATTATCACACTGGTACTATGTGCTTTATCGATTATTTCCCTTGTGTGATTATTTGTTAAGGAACTATTTGGCATTGTGCATCATCCTACTTCAGATTGCAATGTGCATGCTTAAATTCATGCAGGCATGCGTTGAGAGAATCAAAGGAGATGAGACCGGGCATAAGCATTGCACTGGGCAGTATTTTGATTACTGGAAATGTGTCGACGACTGTGTAAGTATTCGCGCTTTTCTGCATCCTTCTTCTGGAACAGAGTAAGAAATGTGAGTCAGCTAAAATATCTTTTTCCATCCACAGGTTGCACTGAAGCTTTTTGTCAAACTGAAGTGATCGGGAAAAATCTATTGTTCACAAATTTTCAGTCAGTTGCGGTTTTAATTTATAATGGCAGGATTAGTGGTTGTGGAAACCTTTGCAAGGAAGTAATAAGGAACAGTTCTCTTGAAACAATTGCTATGGTGTTCCTGTGATCAGCACTAAGAGCAGACTTATTTCATCATTTATTTTCATCTGTAATATCAACTTTGACATTTGTTTGGTTCCCAATATTTCGAAGTTGAGTGAAACTTTGGTCCTTTGGCCAACTTTTGAAGAAGTTTGAATTTGAACTTTTGATGTTTGTCATCGAAACTTCTGCTCAAGGAATTATAACTCTATTACGTTTAGATGGTTGTGTTGCTCTTATCACATTATGTGAGAGAATCATGCAATATTTTACTGGAAACGTTGTGCAGACATTTTTAACCCCCATCAGCATTTAAACAAATTCCAGGAGGGTGAAAATATCCACATTAAACAGCTAATGTGTTATATATATATATATATATATATATATATATATATATATATATATATATATATATATCTGTTCAAGAAATACTGATTTTGATTTTAAAAATCAAGAATTATAATCGAATCGTCAAGATCCGATTGAACCGTCGGACCGGTTTCGGCTGGGAACTGAACCATGGTTCAGAGCTAGTTGTATCCTGTAACGACTGTGACTCCAAAATTGGACTCAATGATTGGATACCAGTGACTCCGAGTACAACTGGTCCACAGAGTGTCCCACTTAAAGGCCAATGGCTCGTCAGTAAAGCCTGAACCTTGCCCTTGGAACCACACCCCAACATATGGCCACTGCTTCACCTCCACCCTATCCGTTTCGGACCTCTCCATATACACATCCAACCACTCATCCAGACAACATTCTCAGCCATGGCGGGGCTCGGACCATTCAAGCTTTGCCACCAAATGGCTCTTCTCCTCAGGTCCCCAACACTCGTTAGACCAAGAACGGTCTCCCATCAAGGTATCGCCTCTTCGCCTCTGCATGTTTGCTCCAAATCCTTGTGAGTGAGAGATTTTGCTTGCAGCGAAGGCGCTGAGGAGAGGGAGGCTGGTGGTGAAGGCCTGCCAAGAAGAGGAGCAAAAGAGCCAGAGGAGAAGCTTTCTCAGCCTAGAGGAAGCCGGGCTGGTTGAGATGTCCGGGCTCAACACTCACGAGCGCTTCCTCTGCAGATTAACAGTGGGTACAATATGCCTCAACTCTCCTCATTTGTTACTCTTTGCAAACTCATCAATTAAACTGTGATGGATTGGTTACATTAAACTACTGTGTGTGTGTGTGTATATATGCATTGTGTTTAGTGCTATAGATAGCCTAGGATAAATTTGAGCAAATGGAATTATTATCATAGAGTATTGATTGTGGTGTCTTTTGGGCCAACACCCAATTTCATATCTCAATTTGCTCAGAGAAAGTCTTACATAGAAGAACAAGTAATTCAAGGACAGAGAGCTATACATCTGCCCCTTTAATTCTTATTCTTTATGAGCTTTAAGCCATCAGAATGTCGGATTTCTGTTGCTTTTAGGACATAATTGGGTTACCCGAGTTTAATCTAAAGTGGAGGCCAATTGAGTTTATTTGTAGGATCAAAATGGATTTGGTACTATTAACTTGAGTTTAAGCATTATACATCAAAAACATAGTGAAACTATATGTCCCAATGTCGAGCCATTAGAGAATGCAATAGTGAATGTCCCATTTGACAGATATGCGCTCCCAAGTCCTCGAGTTTCTTTTTTTGATTGCACTCACTGCTTCAGAGAATTCAATAGACCAACCCATTGGCATGCCAGACACAGTCTTTGGTTTTTTGGAAGGAAGACTTTCCTTCAGATTTACTCTCCATTTTGGCTGATGACCTTCACAGGTCATTTTGTAGATTTTATCCTCAGTAATTAAAGCTTTCTGCTTTTTTGGAAAAAATATCGAGTCATCAGACCTCGTGGATGATACTGAATGCACGTATGATGTCGAGTCATGGTTGATAAGACGGGAGTAGCACTACTAGTAGTTTATAGGTTAAAAGTAGATTTACTATTATTTGGATCAGTGGTTTAGACTCATCATGATAATAGATTGATATCTCATCGAGCCAAATTATGAGGGTACGCCGAAAATTTTCAAAATAATAGCATACTTCTTAAGAACTGGTTTGATCTGATGCCTCAAATTGACTTGTTAATTTCACTATTTATCGTATATTTGTTGGAGGAATAAAAGCATAGTTTGATGCTGCAACTTGAGAAAAAAGAATAATAAGAGCATAATAAACTAGCAATTCTCCCATGTCTCTGCAAGTGCATCTGGTTTGAAAGCATCAGCAGAGTGATATACTCATATTTGATTCACAATTCATCCATCATTTTTTTGTCAGATATCATCACTGAATCTGCTGAGAGTGATATCAGAGCAGGAAGGAGTTCCTATCGAGGAGCTTAATGCAGGTCGGCTTTGTGATTGGTTCCTAAAAGATAAGCTCAAGAGAGAGCAGGATTTGGGGTCTGCAGTGATCCAGTGGGATGATTCTGACTCCCAGTTTTGAGCAGCACATCATTTCAATTGTGCTATGCAGATCTTTAGAAAAGATCAAGGTTTTTTGTTGAATGAAATTATCATATAGAAGATGGGGTTATCAGCATATCTTATTCTTGTTGGTTGGCAAATGGAGCATGGAGTTGTAGTACTAAAAGATGTGATGTTTATGTAAATGTGTCAATCCGAAGAGTAGAGCTTTTGGAGAGTTCAGATTGAAACATTTTGGCCCTCCCACTGCCATCATAAAACATATGCAATCCAAGAAACTACGTTTCAGTTTAAATTTCAACGTGCTTTAATGCTTTTCTTCTCTCTCTCTCTCTCTCTCTCTCTCTCTCTCTCTCTTTTTGTTTTTTTTCGATAATTTTTCTCGATAAATCTTTTTTTAATTAAGAGTTAAGACCACTGAAATGTGTTATTTCAATAAATAGTTGAATAGTCAAGTTATGCGAGGGACAACCATTCTCATGGGATAACTCTATTTGATTTGCAACATATATTTTTCTTCTTGAATCTTTTAATTATTTCATTAACTTAAATATTAGAGAGAACTTTGACATGTTTTTCTGTCTCACTATGAATTCTCAAACTTGTGATAAGATGGGGCATTAGACTTGGATTAGCGTTCCTGAATCATTCGGAGAAAGTGAAGAAGATTTAACAGAGCTCAAGAAAGCTTTAGCACAAAACTGCAAGAAGGCAGGAAATCATAATCTGTTCAAATCATATTTACGATTTGATATATGACTCATCCAGGACAAACAAACTTGACCTCTTTCATGGAGAATCATATTGATTAGTATCTGTTTTTACCATTTAGAAAAATGCACAATCACAAAAGAGATTAACCAGCAAAAACTGACAAATGTAAAATTTTGATTACTGAACAAAAACTTCTATATGTTTTCCTCAGATTTAGAAAACTATTGTTTTCAGAGGGAATCAGAGATAAAAAAGGGAATCATCTCTATACATGTGAAGCAACAGAAAGTTCAGCTGTCAAGTTTCTCTTGCTATCTTCCAGGGTTTTTCCTGTAAAAAAGAATTAATAAGTAAAACTGCAATTATAGAGAACGATAGCAAAAGAAAAAAAAACTTTTTGATTCATTTTCTGAGAGATGCCTAATAATTAATGACAAAAAACCTATGTCCATTCTTTCATATTCAGAGAAAACATATAACGAGCGAATCAAAACATGGGCACAGGTCAACTAGCTCAATTGGTTACATATAGCTAAGATAACTTCAGCACATGCAAATATGAATTTAGCACACATATGTAATGGGGGAGATATTTATTGTGTATGCAGTTTTAATCTACTTAGTTACACGAGTAAGGAAAACAAGAAGGGGACCTATGTACATGTAAACCAAACCACATAAAATTCTATAAAATTGAAAAAGAAATTCTGTAACTTTTAGTTCACTTCACACTACATTGTTGTCTCTGTGGTGCCACAAGTTGATCCTTTACCACCATGGCTCCTCAATATTCCTCAGAATGAAGGATTTCTAACATAATAATGGAATAAGCCAGACACAAAAATAATAAATTCATTTGGCAATTTTCAAAAGTAGTGTTTTAAACTGGATTACTTTTTTCACTCATCGTGTAATGCTTACAATCATGGAAGAAGGAAACTTTGGCTGATTGCAACTGAGATCTCAACTGGATTTATGTTTCATGCAAAAAATGAAGATACTGAAAAAATATGCAGGGTCATAGTTTTCAAAATTCAGGTAATTGAAGCAAAGAACTGAGAAAATTTTTATACTTGTAATGTGAGTTTCACTTTCCATATCTGGGACGCTGTATCTTCCCGTCAATAGTATTCTCTTTGTTCCAAACAGAGATGAGATCCTTTTTCACAGCACCAGCAATTGGTCTCGGCTTTGTTGCAAGTCCTTTTTTTTGTGGTCTTGGTCCATTAACCTGACTTAAAGTTTTCCTGGTTGAGGTTGGATTTAAAACCTGCAAAGGGAGACAAGGATGTGTGACCACACATAAGCAAAAACGAATGACAAAAGGGCATATAATATTTTCTAACCTTGGATTTCGTTTCTTGGCTGACAAATTTAGCACCACTTGCTCTATTTCGATGCTGCAAACATTGAGTTCTGGCCTTAATTTGCATTTCTTGCACTTTTACTGCAGTACCTAACACTTTCTTGGTCCTTCCATTTTTTGGCATTGTAGTAGTGTTGACATTCTTGAGAATGTTTCCATGGGAGTAAGAGGAACCTACACTAGATTTACCTGCAGAAGAATTGCGATTCTGCAAGAGATTTTCACTCTTTGTTATCTCTCTTGTGGAGTATCTTGTATTCCTGCTGCTAGAAGTTTTTCCGGCCACATTAGAAGTTCCAATCTTAGTGTTTCTAGGACCTCCAAAGCTCGACTTTGGTCTTAACTTTTGGCACTTAGAAACAACACTGCTTGATGAGCTTCTTTCAGCTGCAGCAATGGACTCAACAACGGAGTTCTGGTTATCATCCGCTGAGCCCTTTAATGGTTTTCTGGAAGATGAACTCATTGTGACTGTGCTCATTGAGCTGTTCCGGGAAGTAGCCTTATTCGTCACTGCATCCAAGCTTTTCCCACCCAATTCCCTGAAATATATTCATTGATCATCAAATAGAGAAGAAAGCCAATGGACTATTCAGAAACACATTTTCTTTAATGTCAATGTGTGAAGGTGCAACAATACCTAACCGGATGTTGCCTTGCAGCCAAAGAACCATGAGCATTTCCTAACCACTTCCTGCATTTGTAATGCTTGCCTCTAGATCTTGAGACAGACTCGGGAACTTTTGGAGAGTGGCACTGCGAAGTGTGTGAGCTATCTTCATCTTTGCCAATGCTCTGAAACAATTTCTTGAGTTGTCGGGACGACATTTGATGGATCCTGAAATGAATACATTGGCTACTTAATAGATTAACAGATGAGAATGCCAGGGCATAACCTTATATCATTATGGAAGCTTACGGATGTGATACCCGAAACCAAGCATCATCACTGCCAACACAAGAACAGGAAGCATTACTCGTACAAACAAATGTATGTAAGAGTGAAACTAGTGGACAAACCATTACATTCCTAATGCTCACATGTCTTTGCCCATGGATCGAGCTTCCATAGTAAGATCTGCCCACATCGGGGCTTCAATTTCTTCCTGGAAGAAGAAAATAAGTGATCTTTTCGTCATAAACAAGATTGAAATCAACCGTTATTTCCCGATATGAAACCCGATCGATTGACACCCGATCAGAATGATTCCGCGATAGAGCAGGAGATTTGAGGGCAGAACGAAGATTCGTACCAGAAAAGCCCAGTGATCGTTGCTGGCGAAGCCTTTTCCTTGGATCACCTTGCGATTGACCTCAGAGGATTTGCCCTTTTCCTTCTTCAAACCCATCTGTGTCTCGCTCGCTCTCTCTCTCTCTCTCTCTGACGGAATACTAACCGTTGGAATTTCTAAGCGACCAGAGTTCAAAAAGACGAACGATCGGCACGTGCAGATCGCGTGAGCGGGTGCTGAGGATATTGAGTTAACGGGCTGTGACGACAAGACCATACATGGATATCTATACATCATACATGAAGACATCCAAGGGCTGACATCAGTCCATACATGGATATCTATATATCATGTCCTTTGTTTCTACGGATGTTAATAATATAAGTAGTTCCTTTAACTATTAAGATGTTATCTTACACATTATTATTAATTATTGTCAATTAGGATTAGCATATAATTGTATGACTGCATTGTCACGTCTTAAACCGGACCCAATCGACTGGATTGATGGATTTGGGTCAAATCTGTTTAGCCAAATTCCAAATCCCTACGACGAGAAATTGGAACCAGAACCGAACAAAACGTAAACGGCCGGACCGCGGAATGGAAACGGAAGTGACAGCGTTCGTGATCCGCAGCTCGCTGTCTCCTCGGCTTCTTAACAACGCCGTGTCAGCAGCAGCAGCAGCCGGGAAACGAAGATTCCTATCCGCTGATCTCGACCGAAAAGCGCCCCTCCTCCGGAGCTCCGGAGATGCGCTGTGGTGGCAGTGGTGGCGGTGGTGTCGGCGCCGGCTCTGAGGAGGGATGAGGCGGAGGCCGTTCGATCTCCGGAGGCCGGCGAGGCGGCGATGGCTGTCGAGCGTGCGGGTATGGCTGGTGACCGGCGGCCTCGGGGTGCTCCTGCTGCTTGTGGTGCTCAGTCGCGAGAAGCTGCCGAGATCCGTGCCGCCGTCGATCCGCCAGGTGACATCTCGGCCCATGATTTTTTACGACTCTTTAGCCGCCGTAAAAATTCCTTCTTTGTGCTTTTGTGGATCGTTTTCACCTGATTGACGTGATGAGTTTGGGGAGGAATTCTGCGATCTTTTGCCTGTTTTGAACTCTTCCTGTGTTGACGCCTCAAATGTTAAGTCTTGGTACGCGGACAGGTAGAATGGAGGTGTTTGCTTGGAATCAGCGATTAGATCTGTCCTTACTGCTATAGTTAAGTTCTAAATTTGGTTCCTTCTAAAAATGTCAAGGGTGGGTTTCCAGAATGTCTTTTAATTTGTTTTTCGGGAGTCTCTATGATCAAGATCTTGATAAAGTTAGGTCAAAAAGTTATTTTTGTGATGTGATCATTGGTGGATGATCGGCTAAGTGTACGTTCCTATCTCTAGATTCCTAATGGTTGGTAAGGACCACATTGCCACATAATTTGCTGAAGATTAGGACTAAAGATTCATAGATTAAGCGTTCACTCCTTAAGCCATGGATGCTTGCCCACCTTATTGGATCCTTGCACAATTGCAGTGCCATGATTGGCCATGCTTTGCCCCAACAGCATCTATCATCACCTCATGCTTGTTCTGTTTGCACACCGATGCGACAAGGTTGGATCTTCTTCTCCAATGCCATTTATGATGGCGTAAAACTTCTGCTGGAAGCTGTTCTCTAGAACCCCCCCCTTTTTTTTGTACTCCATAATCTTGTAAGCGCCTTGAATCCTTCCCATGTAACGCCCACCATGAAGCTAGATATTTGGTAGTGAAGAGGTGTGAGAGTAGGATTAACACACCCATAAATGATCGTGGACTGGTCCAGTTCCTTTTGCCATAGCAGTCCAACGAATACCCCCATTACCACACATGGCCTTGACTCTTCAATGCTTTGGACAAGGGCAAAATGGTTGGAGCTTCAATGCTTTGTCTGTTCTCTACCAGTATGCTTCTTCCTTTATTCTCCGGTTGACTACCATGGCTGCCACTACCTTCCAGCTTCCTCCTTTATGACCTCCCACCTCCACTTCCATGAAGGCTACCACCCCTCCTTCACATCCTCCTCTATGTCTTCCATAATTGCTGCTTTCACCATGACCACCACCACCGGTTGTAGAACTTTTTCTTTCTGACCATTTTGTGATCCTTGGACTTTTCAAAGTTGAAGTCAAACTCAATCGAAAACTAACAATAGATTTCTTTATGACTAATGCCATATTCAATTGAAACAGATATGTCATTATTTAAATACAGAAGCTGGTGGGTGTGTGTCAATCAGTCTAACCTTTAAAACCTTAATATTTTTTTCCTGCAGAAACTTGACCATTCTAGCGTTATTGAAGATCTTAACATTACAGATGAAATGCTGAGTCCTTATTCGTTCACAAGGCAAATAGTAGACCAAATATCTATTGCGAAGGCTTTGGTTGTCATCTCCAAGGACGATAACAATGTCCAGTTTGCAACGGAGCTTTCTTCCCAAATTCAGAAATGTCAAGCTGTTCTGTCCAGTGCTGCAACAAGGGGAACCCAATTAACCAGCATAGAAATGGAAGCAGCAATTCGTGATATGGCTTTCCTGATCTACCAAGCCCACGAACTTCAATATGATAGTGCAACCATGATTATGAAGATGAAAGGTCAATTCAGATCTTTGAATGATAAGATGAAATCCGAGACTGACAAGAGCACCAAGTATGGGCAGATAGCTGCTGAAGAACTCCCAAAAGGCCTTTATTGTCTTGGTATCAGGCTAACCATGGAATGGCTTAGGAACCCAAATGTTCAGAGAGAGCTCTCGGAAGGGAAGCACGTGTCGAAGAAGCTCACAGACAATAGTCTCTATCATTACTGTGTCTTCTCCGACAACATCCTTGCTGCGTCAGTTGTGGTTAACTCCACTACCATGAACTCAAGGCATCCAGATATGATTGTATTCCACCTGGTCACGGATGAGGTGAACCATGCATCAATGAGGGCCTGGTTCTCCATGAACAGTTTCCGAGGTGCAACCATCGAGGTCCAAAAGGTGGAGGATTTTACCTGGCTCAATGCCTCGTACGTACCAGTTCTAAAACAGCTCCAGAACTCTGAAACACAGAACTACTACTTTTCTGGAAGTGGTGATAACCGAACACCAATCAAGTTCAGGAACCCAAAGTACTTATCAATGCTTAACCACCTAAGATTTTACATCCCAGAAGTCTATCCAGCACTGCAAAAGGTAGTATTTCTCGATGATGATGTAGTAGTTCAGAAGGACATATCAGAACTGTTCACAATTAACCTTAATGGAAATGTGATGGGTGCTGTCGAGACTTGCATGGAGACCTTCCACAGGTTCCATAAATATCTTAACTACTCCCATCCGCTGATCCGTGCTCATTTTGATCCTGATGCATGTGGGTGGGCATTTGGAATGAATGTCATGGACTTGAGGGAGTGGCGAGAGAAGAATGTCACTGGCATATATCACTACTGGCAGGAGCGTAATGCCGACCACACCCTCTGGAAGCTTGGGACACTGCCCCCTGGGCTACTGGCCTTCTATGGTTTGGTTGAGAATTTGGACACCAAGTGGCATGTGCTAGGGTTGGGATATACTAACGTCGACCCATCACAGATCAAAAATGGTGCAGTGCTGCACTATAATGGGAACTTGAAACCGTGGTTGAAGATTGGAATGGAGAAGTACAAGGGTTTATGGGAACAGTATGTGGACTACTCGCATCCTATGTTGGAACAGTGCTTCGGGCATGGATAGAGAAATGTGAGGTTGATGTTAAGCGACATTCCTGCTAACCATTAGATGGTCAGAATGTGTAAAGCAGTCTATGCCATCCGTCACGTGTAGATATTTGAGAAAATTTTCGACTTAAGATCCACATTGTTTCTTTCTAAAAGTTTTCCATTGGATATTCCTATGTCCAAATGTGGTTGCAATGTGGTGTTTTGTTGATGGTGTAGGCCCTGTGACATTGTCATGCTTTTGTTACTATTCAGGCCTCTGTGGCAGGCACATTAGATCAACCATCTTCTTTATATTGAATCAGGATAAAAAATTGCAATTTCTTCCATGTTCTTCTAATGAAACATGTGTTGATGCTTATGAAATCTATCGTCCGTGTTCCTCTTAAAATCGATTCAAGTTCATGAGATTTCCAGATGCCATCAGAAGTTTGTAAGTTTCCCCTTATCGTCTTGCCTTTATCAAGCATGCCAAAGCTTACAATGGTTGAGCAGGTTCAGCAGCATTGTTGCAAACATTGGAACTTCTGCAGTCCAGTGGATGAAGGAGAAACAAGTTGAGTAGTAAGAGGAAGTGGCGAGAACAAAGGGGCAAAGGTTTCAATGATTAGTAGCAAAAGATGTAAGCATATGATTAGGAGGCCTCATCACTCTTTTAGATATCTAAGTCTATCCAATTGCCTTCCCTAAACGCATGAGAAGGCTTAGTAAAAAAATAACAAGAAAGTAAGGCCCAAATGTTCTTAATCCTCCTCCAACATATGAATCATCACAGGAGCATAAGTTTGAAGCTTTCCAACTCCCCCCTAGCCAGAGCCTATAGTCCATCAAATAGAGCTATGGATTCATGGTGACCATAATACTCTATTATTCTTTTAATTATAAGTGATATTATAATTCAACTTGATTCAAGTCACATCTAGAAATTGTAGCAAAAGTCTTTCAACAAAGTCGTTGTAGTATAGTGGTGAGTATTCCCGCCTGTCACGCGGGTGACCCGGGTTCGATCCCCGGCAACGGCGAAAGGAATTTTAAGTTTTTAATTTGGCCTATCGTTCTTTCTGAAATAATAATCTAATTAAAATTGTCTTGGATATAAATTCCTGCATCCATTTAGAAAGATTAGCAATATGAGCTTCTAATTATACGAACATTTGGATCAATTGTTTCAGTCTTATGCATGGATATTGAAAATATATTTATATTTTAACGTATACTTAGAGAAAAAAGTTTAAGTGAATCTACAGTTGTTAAATGGTTTGAGTGTTTAATAAATAATAGATAAAAATTATATTTTAAATATATTAATAATATTATTTGATAAACTCATATTTTAAAAGTTTGCTGAATATTATTTCATAAATTTACCTTCTAATTTTTTTAATATTTATTTTAAAAATAAATAAATATTTCAGTT